CTTGTTCTCGTACTTAGTCTTTTCAGTACTAAAGAGTGAAGGTTACCAAAGCCAGGGCCTGATATACTCAACCCAGAGAGAACTCTTCTTTTCGGTAAGTGATAAACTCTAAAGCTGTCGGCAAGTAGCGTATGAGAACTACTTCTAAACGACAGTTGCTGTCCCTGCAGTAAGTGATAAACTCTAAGCCTACCGGCAGGTAGTATATGAGAACTACCTCTAAACGGTAGGTGCTGGCTTATGGTTTCATTTATTTTAGCAAGTGTATTGTATATCAGGTTTCTTTTTTTCGAGTTGGATTCTTTCCAAAAATTTCGGTACGAGTAATCAATTGGTGAGAGTTTTATTTATTATTTAATTCGCTTCAAAATTTCAAGATTTTAACTTTTAGGATTTTGATATAGAACCAAACAATTTCTCTTATATTAATCATTCTTATAGGTCATGAATATTAAATTCATTTATTAATTAGGCCATTCCAAGCAGATTCTTTGTTTAATATAATATAAAATATTTTATGAAGAGGGGGGAGGGATTAAAAAAATATAATAAAAAAAAAAAAATACAGCAATTCTATTGGCTGTAAAATTTTCAAAAATTTAAAAAACCAATACTATAATTTAAAAAACAAATACTACAATTTGATTGGTTAATAACATGTATAATATTTTATACAAATTTCAAAAACTAGAGAGGGGGTTATATTAAACTAAAAATTAGCTTGGTATGATCTTACTAAAATTAAGCAAAACCATATTAGCTAATTTGTAAATTTGGACCTTTTTATTTAGATCACCAAATTTAGATTTATATGTGAGCATTGACCAATCAAATTATATATTTATTATTTATATAACTTACCAAAGGTTTTATATAATGCTTTGTTATTAATAAGATTGATTATATAAAATTCATTGTTTTGATTGGATCTTCACAAATTTAGAGTCACAAAAATTTGGGGTACTTTGCAAATTGGCTAATATACAATTTCACAAATCAAGCACATAAATACTGTAGGTTTTCAAAAATAAGCTACCCTTTTGGTCAAAAAGTTACACAAATCGTGAGGGTAGCTTATTTTTGGGTATAATTAATTTTTATTAATTTTTATTAACTTTTTATTAGACGCAAGTAGTTGCTACATGTAAAAGTCGAAATTCTACTAGTAAATCGACAAAAATCACTTAATAGCGATTGTTTAGGAGGTAAAAATACACCTATCCTGAAACTTTCAAGCAAATCAGAAAACTTTTTACTAAGATGTTTTTGCATTTTATATTCAAACATAAAATGCAAAACCATCTTAGTAAAAATTTCTCTGATTTGCTTGAAGGTTTTAGGATAGGTGTATTTTTACCTTCTGAACAATTGCTATTAAGTGATTTTTGTCGATTTACTAGTAGAATTTTGACTTTTATATGTAGTAACTACTTGCGGCTAATAAGGAGTAACTTATTTTCGGAACAAAGGTGTTTCTTATGTTTTCTTTTCAAGAGAAAAGGGGGGTAGCTTCTTTTGGAGGTTGCTTATTTTCGGAAACATACGGTACATATAGTACTTTTCAGACCACTTCATTCTCATTAATTATTTCGGTCAGCCTATGAATATTTACCAATCAACAGAGTTAAAATCAATAACTCAAGTTTTCAAACCAAGAATATAAATCCTTATTTGCCACTATGTAATACCCTTCAATCACGTTAATCAATCCCTTCGGCTTGTGGATGTAAAAGATTATTTATTAATTGTTATAATTAAAGTTAACAAAACAGATTCACAAATAAAGATATGTATAAATCATAATACTTATTTACTAATGGTCGACTAGAATAAATTGCTTGATTAATTATTTTATTTCTACTTACTGTTATTTATACCTTTCAAGAAGTTCCAATTGCATTAATTAATTTATTCAGCCTAAATATAAAGCTCACTTATTAATCAGTTAAATTAAAATCATGAAACAGATTCACAATCAAGAACATAAATACTTATCTTTTATTGCATAATTATTTCATTCGCGTTAATTATTTTATTTAGTCTATAATATAAAGATCGTTTATTAATCAATAGAATTAAAATCAACAAATCAAAGATAAATATTTATTTACCATTACATAATGACCTTAAATTATTTCATTTGCGCTAATTATTTCCTTCGGCTAATGAGCATAAGGATATTTAATCTTTATTACTGTATTAATAAAATCGACAAAATAGATTCAAATTCAAGAGCATAAATACTTATCCGCTATTACATAGTGCTCTTCAAAGCATTTCATTCTCATTAACACTTCGTTAAGCTTAAGAATATAAAGACCGTTTATTAATGGCAGAGTTAATATCAACAACTAAAATTCTCAAACCAAGATCATAAAATACTTATTTACCATTATATATATAAATATTACCCTTCAAATCATTTCATTCGCGTCATTCTTAGTTCGTGGATATAAAGATCATTTATTGCCAGAAATAAAATCAGCAAAAAAGATTCACAAATCACGAATATATATCTCATCATATGGGCTGCCGTGAAATTAGGCAGATTGATATTTTAAAGAAAATCCATGCCTCAACTTTCACGCCCATACCTTAATAAATTTTGATTATTTTGATGATTCAATATTTGAAAAAAAGTTTAGAATTAATTTTTTTTTTTTTGAATATTAAATCAAGATATGAGTTGTGATAATTGAGGTATGTATTTTTTTAAAAAATTTTGATGGCAGTCCAATAATCCTTCAAACCATTTCATTTACGTTAATTATTTCATTAATTCTATGAAAATAAAGACTATGTATTACCGGTAGAATTAAAATCAACAAATCAAAGGTTCTCAAACCAAAAATATAAATACTTACCTATCACTATATAATGCCCTCAAATCATTTTATTCGCGTTAAATCAGCAAGACAGATTCACAAATCAAGAATATAAATATACCATTTTATTCACGTCCGTAACCTATGAAGATAAAGAAATTTTATTAATTGGCAGAGTCAAAATCAACAACTCAAATTCCCAAACCATCAACATAAAGACTTAATAATACCTTCAATCGCTTTACCGTATAAGCGTAAAATAACGCCCACCTGCGTGTTAATTAATTGACCTGCACGTTATTTTAAAATAAGAGTGAATTTTCTAAATCCAATACAATCATCCTTCAATAAATGCATGTTGTTGGGTAAAAGTGTATTTATAGAATATTCATAAACTGCAAATTATACTTAACATTATATAGAAAGTGCATGCACATATGGAGTCAAAACGGCAATACTTTGAGATACTTAGTTTCAGAGATAATTACTCTTACTTGTCCCAACCACCACGTAGAGGTGTATCTCATCGGTTGGGAAGGCGAACCCCAACCCATTTCTCTCCGACCGGTACTTGTCGTGGTACTGTTCCCGGTTTTTGAACGGGTTGTTCCCTTGAATCATCAATACTTAAGTATTTCATCAAGTAGCTTTTTGCTCGATTTATCCTCATAGAGCTCGAGAAAAACCATACCATTTTAATTACTCCAAATAAAAAATGACAACTATTGAATATGTAAAAAAACAAAAAAAGTTAAAAAAAAAAAAAAGGCGAAATAAAAAAATGAGATTTGCAAAAAGTAAGAGAAAAAGGTGATCCTTATATGTCTTTTTATCAACGTGTTTATTTTGAAAACACGCGACTTTTGAACGTGTAATCAAGCAAAAACCTGTTTCAAACCAGTCAGAGTTTTTTGCTGTGATGATGTAATTGGCACGTTTTTTTATCGGCTATCAGTAACTGTTAATCGGTAGATTGCTAATAAATTTTTTTTACAAGTGCGAAAAGAGCACTAAGTATTCTTTATTATAGATGATTAATGCAAAAGAGAAGTATGTAACTAAATTAAATTACGAATTTCAAAAACGTAACTTCTGTTAGAGCTATTACCCGGTCTGGTGGGTCACGGGTTGCTCTAACAAGTCAGAATTTAAAATAGCACACAATTTACATATAAATTAGGAAGCCATTTTCCAGAAAGGACATAATACTGACTAAATTGACCAGCATTATAATTAACGCTGGCTAACTTTGTCGGTATTATGTCTTTTCGGGAATCTGTCTTTCGGGATTTCAGGGTAGAACTATTGATAACTAAGATAACTGTAAAAACTATTGTTAACTATAGTTTAGGATTAAACCGCATACGGATTGTCTCAAATTAAAAGGGCCACAGTTACATATAAACAATTTTATTTGCAGTCTTTTATTATATGTTCAAAATCAAATAAAAAAAAGTCATATACAGTTTATATGGGTCGTCGATCAACTACAGATGTATAATACGGAATTGATTCAGTGTAATCCGTATTATCCGGATTTAATATTGTGTAAATCCGTATTATACGGATTTTGATTTTATGAATCCGGATCATCCGGATTTAAATAGTTCGCTTCACTTCATAGTCATATGTACCAATAATAGAAATAATAGAGCCACTTTACCTGCAATTCCGAAAGTTAGAATAATTCCGAAGAATTCCGAACTATATTAAGCGAGAGCATAATACCTGGTATCATACTACCATTTTCTATTATACCGGTATAACCGCATCCCTAGCAGCTGCATACATTTACTATGATAAGTTTCGCACTCATATAATAAATTTTACTTGTTAAGAAAAATAACACTAATTAAAAAATTTGCGTACACACGGACATCAAGTGATTATGGTGAAATTAAGCATTAAAAACCTTGGGGAGATTTAACAAAAAAGAATATTTATTAAAATAAAAATTTGTATCTAGATTAAGAGTTTATACTACTCTTTTGTTTCTATGCAATTTAATAATTATTAAAAACATTTTATCTATATCATTAAATATGTATTATTAATAAATATTGTTCCAGAAAAAATTAATAATGGGTTCAACTTTTAGTGATTTTATAATTCTTCATGTGTAGGAGATTCTTTAACAACTTGAGTTGTGGTTGATTTTTGATCAGAATCGGTATTATTAACGTTATTAGTACTTTCGCTATCGGTAGTTGCTGATGGAGTTGCTTTTCTCTTCGGTGGTCTCTTTGTAGCTACAATTAAAAATTCGCGTTCTATCTCCCGTAACATCCTTTCAATTTCTACCGTAGTCAAGACAGGATCGACATAAGGTTCAATTTTATTTTGTTCTGTTAGTTTCTCATCAAGCCATTTCTCAATCTTATTACACACATTCAATAATTTATCAAGTTCTTCGTCTGTATGATACCGTTCAACGGTTGTATTCCCTTTAATTTTTTCTACAAATTCTCGGGTACTATTTATGGCTGATTGAATCGCGTTGACTGCTTCAGGACGTCGAGCGTGCTCATCGCGTCTATATACGATTGGTTTCTCAAGTAACCTAGTACATAGATTTTAAGTTATTAATTGTTAATAAAATTTGGCAAAATTCAAATGTAAAGACAAAATTGATGGTTGCCAAACCTTAGACTATTAAGACGCGTTAGTAAGGACTCTATTGGGGCATCTTCACCTTCTTCGTACAGCCATTCAGATGTTTCAGAAGATTTTGCTGCTAATTCTTTACGTTGCTTATCGGTACTAACTTTAATTACAATTTGATCCGACAAAAAGTCTTGCAAATTATAAACAAAAGACTCAAGGTTATTTCTGGCTTCTTCACGTGCTCGACGTCGGCGATCAGTCTCATCCATGGTGCGTAACCTGTTAATAAAATCCATTTTATAAATCATAAAATTATCTCATATGACAAAATAATTTATTCATACCGTCTTATGGCTGCATCTTTCTCATTAAATCCCATGGGTTTTATGCCAAGATATTCAACCTCAAGATTCAATGGAATTGACTCGATTTTTTTCTGAATTTGTTCAGTATCATTAGTCTGTGTGTCGTTTTCCCCTGGAACAGGTTGCGATGCATTATCTGGAGGGGCAGATTCCTGTATTTATATTATAATAATTAAATTAGCATTGAGAAAGACAATATAACAAGCACTTGCAAACTCACATCAGAAAATGGTACTTCTTTAAGTGCTTCATCTGATTTATTGTTATTGACACCAAAGAATGTTCTTATCTTATCTGTTATATATTTCGTTACATGAAAATGAAACACATTCAGTATAAATAATTGAAAATAATAAAATATCGATAGTATAAATCATACCTGAAATAGTCTGATGCTCAATAGTTGCAACGGCATCAATCACAGATACAATACCAGAATCAGATAACTGTAAGGTAACCTTTAATTTAGGTTGTTCTATACCGTTATCATTATGCTTCTTGACGATATCGGACAATCCTGTAATCTTAGCAGCAGCTATATCCGTTGGTCCAAAATCTTTTAAAATATTTTCATTTAAATTTCCATAATTTATTGAGAAATTAAAATCGCTGGTTCGTTTAAAACTCATTATTTTACGAGTTCCAACAGATGTATATTCATCAAACAAAATCGTACGATAGGTTTTGGTATTCATGGTTCCTTTATGAAATATATTATAAATAAGTAAAATAAATAAGTAAAATATTCATATATTCCAAAATTAAAAAAATGAACCGAATTTTATAGATTTAGCTTACCGTCTTCGGACTCTTTTAATTCAGACTCGTAATCAACTTTAATAGGATATGAAGCGATGTCTTTGATTTTAATTTCTTTAACTTTGAATTGACGGCTTAATCCAGCACCTCTAAAAGCCGCACCTTTGTGTCAAAAAGAAATAAATTCAATTATACTTTACAAAAATTAATTGTAAAATTTGTTAAATAAAAATTCACTAGATACCAAGAACAGCAGCTTCGTCACCATTCACATTTTGAGCTATCTTATCCCTATAATTACAAAAGAGAGATAATATTGAATATAATTAACTAATTTGATACTATTAAAAAAATTCTGTTATTAAATCAATATGAAACTTACTCTCCAACAATATCTTTAATCGTAGATTGAATAGCTGGTACTCGAACTCCACCACCAACCAATACACAGGAATTAACATCAGCCTAAAGATATAAACACATGACGAATAATATGAATAATTCTGATTATATTTTTAAAATATACAAAGAGCTTTTCTTACCAAAGTCATTTTTGCATTATTCAACACATCTTGAATTGGTCCATTGACACGTTTTATAAGATCAGTTATCATTGTTTCAAGTTCAGATCGAGTTATAGCAAGACGGAAATCACGCTCTTCATGCAAATTTTCCAACTATAAATTTATAAAAAAATTATTAATAAAAAATTATTCATCGGAAAGAAAAAAAAAAACATGAATATAAAATTTTAACTAACTGATGCCACAGTTTCCGTATTTGCGCTAAGAATTTGTTTCACTCTATTAGCTTCTTTAAGTAATCTTGTCATAGCACGTGGAGATTTAATAATGGATTCTTTTAATTTTCCTTCATAAGTTTTATCAAATTTTTCAGCGAAATATGATCGAAGACGAATATCAATTTCTTGTCCACCAAGAGTTCTATCATATCCAATTGAAATTACATCCATATTGATAACTGTTTTGTTAAAACGACCTATATCTTTCATTTCAACTGTCTTAAAACTTATTAAGCTTGCTTTTGTGCTACCAGCACCCATATCATAAAATATATGGTATTGTGGCTCATCGGTAAATGATGAAAAATGTGTAATCGCGTAATTTAACCCAACTATATATTTAAATTAGGGTTAAAATTTATAAATCTAATAAACTTTTAATGAAAAATATGATCAGAGACGTACCAGCTGTTTCTTCATTAATTAAAGAAAGAACATGTAGACCAGCGATATTTGCAGCATCCAAGATAGCTTGTCTTTCGAATTGGTTGTAATAAGGGGGTACCTTATTTAAATAATTATTATTATTAATATATTAATTATATAAATTCATAGATTTATCTCAATTGCTAAAAAATTTTTTTAAATACCGTGATAACAACATCTTTTATTGATTCATGAGCAGTAGCTTCAGCTAATTCTCTAGCGTAGGAAAGTTGCATTGCGAGAAGTTCCTCTATGGAAAATACTGTAGTCTCATTATGTTGAAATAAGATAGTTCCTCTTAAAGGATCAGGTATAATCTTGTTAGGAAAAACCGATTGATATGCTTGCACGTATTTATCATCAGCAAGACGTCCGATAATTTGCTTGAGACTAAGGTAAGTATTAAATGGAAACCGTGCACCCTAAATTGATTTAATTATAAGTGCAACTTTTCGATCGAAATAATGATAACTTCTGCTTTCTTAAAAAAGCCTCGGAAGTTACTTATTCACGTATTTAAGTCTCGGTTTTCACTGAAAATTTACTTACAAGGTTTACTGCGTCCGTCCCATAAATTCTTTCTTCGCCACGTATAGTTAACACAGACGGAGTTTTTCGTTTTGAGTCACGATTTAATACAATATCAAGGGGTATTCCCGGTTTAACAAGGCCAACTTTAAACCAGTTTGTCCCGTAATCAACAGCTATCACTGCTGCTTCACTTATCGACAGCATACACAGCGCTGTCAAAAGGAAACCTGTTCCTAGTATAAAAATTGTCTTTAACATTGTTAAAGAGAAATGTAAAAATATGAACTTTCTCTTTTAGCTAAATTCGGTCAATTTATTTTCTATCTACTTCGATCGATCAAAAATTTGAGGTGCTGTTCAAATCTGATTGGACACGATTAAACAATGATTAAATCCGGTAATTTTTATCGAATATCAGATACTGGAAAGTTTTATAAAACGTGTATGTATGTACAGGTGAAGATGAGGATCGGGTAACCTCGATGATGTAAGTTAACATTAAATTTTTGGTTCAAAAAAAAGTAACACATACCAGAAAAAAAAATTACGTGCATGCAAAACCACATTTATTAAAGTAATATTATCATAATGTTCTACAAGATTTTTTTTTTTTCTCCTTTCTTAATATGAATATCCTTTGTTTTAAAAGATGTTTTAAAAGATGTTTTAAAAGTGAAATAATCAAAAAGAAAAAAAAAAAATACATATCAAAAGCTGAATATAGCTATAAATACATTAAAAAAAAAAACTTAATCTACATAAAATTCAATTAATTGCAAAAAAAAAAAGCCGTAAAATGTAAATTAAGCATATTGAGTGGGAGTGACAACGGCTTTTTCTGTAAAGAATATTGGGGATCCAACTCTTTTGAGCTTATCAGAACGAACCCGGTCAACAAATTCATCAAATAAGGGTTCTGTGTCTTGTGGACCACCCTTCGCTTCTGGATGGAACTGAACTGACCATCGAGGTAATACTGAATGGCGAATACCTTCATTAGTGCCATCATTGGCATTGACATAGTATTTTACCCATCCCTCTGGCATTACTGAATCATCAAGGGCATATCCATGATTTTGGGAAGTGATTGCACATTTCCCATCATCTACACTAACAGCTGGGACGTTATGACCTCGGTTTCCAAATCTAAAAATTTATTAGGAAAGAACAAGAGATAGGATTAGGAAAAAAAAGAGGAATGTATATTACTTTTTTTAAATAAATATTAAAATCTTACCGGAGTTTATATACATTAAGTCCCGCCGCCATACCTAGTAATAAATTGCCCATACAGATACCAAATATGGGTCTTTGATATTCGCTTAATGCGGTACGCAAATTTTGAACAGTTTCAGTAACCATATTGGGATTGCCAGGCCCATTACTAATGAATATTCCATCGAATTCATTAGATATTTTATTAAAATCGAAGTCATGTGGTAAGATGGTAACGGCAGCTCCACGTTGAACAAGAGCACGTAGGATATTATATTTAACACCACAATCGATAACACCTATTTTCACATCTCCGAAGGGGTTGTAGGAGACTGGCATTTTTGTGCTGACTTCAGCTACCAAATTTCGTTTATTTGGATCAACATAAGGAATTTTATCAAAGTCCTCGTTAGCAGCATCATCGCCAGTAACTAGTTTTGCTAGAGTAGAGCCTCGATCACGTAGTAAATGAACAATAGCACGAGTATCAACACCAGATATTCCAGGTACACCATGACGAGCACACCATGATCCTAGTGACTCTACAGCGTTCCAATGAGAATAGCGCGCAGCATAATCTCCGACCACAATGCCTTGACATTGAACACGGTCAGATTCAAAATATTTCAACAATCCGTATTGATCCTTAAAAAGTCCGGGAACACCATAATTCCCTAAAAAGTTAAATTAAGTTGATTGTTAGAAATTGATAACAAATATATTATATATATATATATATATATGTATGTATATACCTACCGATAAGGGGTTGAGTAAATACTAAAATTTGCCCTCTGTATGAAGGATCTGTCATTGATTCCGGATAACCGACGAGCGAAGTTGTAAAGACAGCTTCACCAGATATTGGAGTTTGTGCACCAAAAGATTGTCCATGAAACACTTGACCAGATTTTAGTTTCAAAGCTGCAGGTGGAGGCGTGCTAGAAACTGATAAAGCATATGGTGCAGGTGGTGGAGCAGTACTAGCAAATGATTGATCGGTAACTGTGGCTAAACCACGTTGAATACTTTTCACGAACAATAAAGTGCGAGAAAGAAGAGTAGGTCTTGTCAATTGTTGTAAAGGCATGTTTATATTTTATGGTGATATGCGAGGTTTGAGGTTTTTTTTTTTTTTTTGATGAAGGTAAAATTTTAATAATTAATTATGATAATAAAAAGCAGTGAAAGTAGATAATTCCGAGTTATTTGTTATTATTTATTGTTTAGTAAGAGGTTACAGAAGATTTCCAGACTATAGAAAGGAAAAAAAGTTAGCCATAAACGTTTAAAGGCTTATTTGGCTTAAAAAAGTTCTCGGAAATAAAGTCTAACCTTGATGTGCTATATAGTCGTCAGAAGTTGAGTCGCTAAAAATGCTCATATGGATTTTTGAAAAAAACTTGAGTTAGAACGCAGAGGTACTTATATCTGTATCTTTTAAAAGGAACAAAGCTATGTAAGAGCCAAGTGAATGGCATTATTTATGTTTTGATGTATTTATTTAAGTGTAATACAGTATGATCTAGATTATCTAAAAATAAAATCTCATCACATCATTATTATACAATATTACAAAAATGACGTGCACGGATGCTGCAATATGTAAGTCCATCACGATCATGAAATTCTATCTACTATGCATTATCTCAAAACTGAATACAAAATCGCAAATATATTATGTGGCAAAAACTCCCGCTAGTAAGATTTTAGATCAATTTCTAGATTATCAAATAAAGATAATTACTCTTAAGAGATATTACACAAGACTTTCCATGGCTGAGTATGTATACGTTTCACAAACTATAATTGGTGGTTTTTTATTAGTAGGTTGAATGAAAATATAAATCTAAATAAAAATAATCGTATCAAAATTACACAAATAATCCTATCAAAGATAACTAAACAAGGTATTATTATCATCATGGTTATGATTATTTTATAATAAAATAATTCCGACATTCTCCTTAAAAAAAATTACATAATTCTATGTCCCAACCCCAAAAATAAGGTTCATTCTATATCAAACTTGGGACATTCCTAACATTTTAAAAGTGTAAATTAATCAACTTTAATGCTCATAAAAATCTTTCGGATAAATGCAAGGCATGCGAGGTAACCAATAGTGCCTATCGAAAAAAATATTTAAGAGATTAGATTATGGCATATTCGATATTCAAAAATAAATAAATAAATAAATAAACTAACCGGTGAGAACAGCGAACATTAAACTAATTACTCCTGACCACCCAAAATAAATCACCGCACTGGTTAAAGAATTAATTTGTAACTTTGTCATAAAGTACATAATAGAATAAACGAAAATGTAAAATCCAGATGCCCCTGATGTCAAAAACGCTCTCCAAGACCAATGATAATCCTTTTGAAAAAAAATAAAAGATAAAAAAAATTAATAAAATAAAAATTAAAATGAAATAAATAAAATAGAAAATATAATGATAATAAAAATAAATAATAAAATAATAATATTATACTGACCTCCGCACAAAGATGGAAGTAACATAGGAGAATTGTTACTTCTGAACATGTAATTGTAAGAATTATAAATACCAAAGCAGCGAATCCGAACAGGTAATATACTTTGCTTCCCCATATGCTATTCATTATGAAATATAATTCGATAAAGATGGCACCGAAAGGAAGAACACCTCCCATTAGTATTGAAGGTATTGGTCGAAGATAGAATACTTGATCTGGGATTTGGCGAGGAATTTGATTTGTTCGAACAGGATGCTCAATTCTCTAAATAAGTGTAAATAAATAAATAAAAATATATTTAATTTTTATAGATTTTTTATAAAGAATAAATCGACAAATTTTTTTTAAAAAAATATGTACCGGTTTTTTGAATCCAAAGAGAGATCCGATACAACATAAAGGAACGGAAATTAAAAACCATAGACCTATTATTGCCAATAGCGTAGTTGCAGGGACAGCGCCAGAAGATTTTGCTGATACCAAGAAAAAGTTTAAGAGAATAAAAATGCTAAATATTATCCTGTTTGAAAGTAATAAAAGTAGTAATAAAGTAGTAAATAAAAGTAATAATAAAATTTTAATTTCAGAATAATTAAAAATAACATCATAAATATATAAATGAACCCCTTTTCTTTCTTACTTACGTAGGGAATAAAAATGCTGTTAAAAAGACATTTTTCTTCCAAGCATCACCACCAAACATTTTATAAACACGTGCAGAAACATATCCAGCTACGAATGCGAAAAGCATATAAAAGATAAGCATGACGGTGGCAAGAGAACCACGGTTTGATGGTGAGAGAAAACCAAGAACAGCAAATACTAAAAAATAAAAATAAATAAATAAATGGAATAAATAAATAAAATAAATAAAGTTGATTTAAATTAAAAATAATAAATTTTTAACTCACAAAGAGTGACGGTTGTCATGCAAAACAGTTGAGAGCCATTTCCCAAAAAGACAGACAACAACATAATATTTGCCGGAGTACGAAATATATCTCCATGAACTAATTTCCAACCAAAATCTTCTTGTACATCTTCTTGAGCTTCTAACTGATTATACCGAGATATATCTTTGTGTAATGCACGAAGTAATATCATAGCCACCATACCCGTCAAGAAAAGTACAATTACGATAGAATTAACCAAACTAAACCAATGAATTCTTGGATCAAAAGTATATAAGTAGTTATCCCAACGCGTCGCCCAGGCAATATTTGAAGGCTGAATAATAAAATTTATTAATAATCAAGAAAAATTTTTTTAAAAATGGAAAACTTTTTAATATCATAATTTAAAGTAACGTACAGTCCATACGACTTTATAAGTGTAATGTACAGTATTATCACTCTTCTCATTTAAAATTAAACGTTCGCTTGTAGTAACACAAGTTCTGGCATGTTCTTCCGAGTCATATTTATTACTAATAATAATTCATAAAAAATAAAAAAACTGTAAATTTTTAAAATGAAGAATGGTAGATCAAGAAGTAATTGAAAGTTAAAAATGATACATACCTTGTAGGGGAAACAATCACACCAACGACACGATATTTATTTGCACTTTCTTGCTTATGATATTGAATTTCGATATCATAATGGTTGTGTAATGGAGGATTGTTAAAAGAAGCTACTGAATCACCTAATTCGAATCCAATGCTATTGAATTCTGTGTTGGTTCTCAAATCTTTTTTTCTGCTAGCAGCAGGAAGACCATCAATGAGCCAATTAATCGCATAATTCTCTTTAATTCGGGCATTGATGAATGCAGCATCTTCACTGGGAACTGTAGCACTACAAAGATATTGACAGGTTTTGTTTTCAGCCATATTAAGCTAATTATTATAAAGAACATTAATAAATTTTAAGTTCAGAATATAGTCAATATTTTAATGGGATAGATTCAAATTTTTTTTTTTTTTTGATACTAGTATGAATCAACTATGTATATACCTTGTATAAAGAGTCAAAAATACGGTCACCAAACAAAATACTGCCCAAGGATTCTGATTGACTTTGAGGTTGTTCTGGAGAGCAAAAGTGGAAAGGTTTGTAATAGTAGTCATATGGAATCAAGGATTTAAGTTGGTGAGATCCCATCAACGGAGTGAGAGAGTTGACATACAACTTCACATCATCACCACGCTCGTAATCATGAGGCGCAACTCCAGGTAGGTAGAAAGCGAAAGTATGTGATGAAAATAGGAAAAGACAAATGCAACTAATTGCGAGAGATCTAGACCACAACATTGTGCAGATTTTAAAACCTCTCTTAGATTCTTGCGAGATACTATATGTTTGAAATTTACTTAGATATTTATGTATATAGAACACTATTTGTCCTACTAAATACTTAGTGGCTATAATTTATACTTGCGTAATACAATAAATATAAATAACCAATAAGCAGAGAACTAATTTCTTTAAATTTTTGAATTTAATTTGATTCACATTTTGGGTTGAGAGGGTATATACTACACTGCATTTGTTATATTTGTTATCAACTTTTTTTCCATATTTAGAAATTTATCAATATATAATATTTACTATTTACTTGGTTACTTGGTTTTCTTGGTTTTACCATTGTGTATATTTGAATATGTGCAATATACAATACGAGATAAGGATTAGAGCCGTTTAATTGCATAAAAATTGAACCATAATTTAGAGTTGAAATTTTGTTAGTTATAAGCTAAAATTATCTTAATGTTAGCCGAATTAGATAAAGACAATTAAAAACGGTCAAATAATTATTAGGCAGTTCCAATCAGGGCCTGATAGTTAGCAAAAATAGCTAGTGAAATTAGCAAATTTAGCAAAATAGCTTATTATAAATTTATATTTGGGTCTTTGCCTTGAAAATGACATGTAGATTTTATGAATAAAAATTAAAATTTCTAGCCATCTTTATTTTGTAGAACTCACTAAGCTTTACAATATAAAAAAAAGGTTATTTTAATTGGATTACTGGATAGCTAGAAATTTTAATTTTTATTCATAAAGAACAAAGTAATAATCACATGTTTAGTGCAAAAGTAGCAAATTTTGCATCTTAGCACAAGACAATTGTTGCTAGCTATTTTGCTAAGAAATAGCGCTATTTTAGATGCTACAAAAATCCGAGGACTCTGGTTCCAATCCCCTATTAATGATTTATTTTGATACGTATTTAATCGATCCACAGTTGAATACCAATAGGTCATTTAGTTTTTGCATTGTAACGTGTAAGCGATACAATATGCTTTGTTTGGTAATTTCCAAGATTACTTCACGATATGGGAATAAAGATTTATTACACTTGGCAAGTAGTTTTTATGAAAATTATCCTTGGGCTGACTTTTTAAGTTAAACTGTTTCAAAGATCGTTTGATCTTATATTCAAAATCCATTTTAGATTCGGCGATGAACATATATGGGTCATATATTTTTTCGACATAATGAATGAGTATGTATATAAGTATAATATATAGTCAATTCAGTATGGTAAGTGTTAATTCTCGGAAAAACTTTTTTCAAAATATCCAGTTAATTATAAAGAATAGTCAATCGAAACTAGTTTTGCTGCCATAACATCATTTTTTTCCTTTTA